CCTAATTTAACAGCGTGAGTGTGGAGGACATATGCAAGGCGGCATCTTGGTCAACGCCAGGCCCCATCATAAAGTTTTATCTCTTGGACATGTCTGGCTCCTTTTCATCGTCTGTGCTTGCTGGGGCAACACAGGACTGGTGAGGAGGGGGGGGGGGGCTGTGGGTCAGTGGGCATCCGACCCCCTCCCCGGGCGTAATGCGCTTACATTTCCCCGGGACCCCGGTCCCGGGGGACGTGGCTCGCACTGGGCCCATAGGGGCTGGAGGACTCTTTCCCCCTGCTTTAGGGCAGGAGGGGGGAGCCCTCCACGTCATAGTCCATACACGCTTTTCACGAGGTAAGCGTGTCTGAGTGTTGGACATGGGGCACTTGTGCTCTCCCCGTGCTCCTTAGGGACTCGGGGGAGTTGGTGCATAGTGAGCCCATACAGGGCTGAGGACTCTCTCCGTCCGCCTATGGGCGGGGGGGGGGTGAGAGCACTCAGCGCTGTTCTCCGAGCACACTTTCGCGAGGTAAGCGCGTCAGAGTGTGCTCTGTCAGCCGCAGCCCCGAAATCTCCACGGTTACGACCGAGGGAGAGGTGAGTGAGGCGCAGCGGTTGCTAACCAGAAAGCCGGTCAGGGACAGTGAGATGGAACAGTGTTGTTGTTGGACGACAGCGAGTGTATACATCGGGGCTGTGAGAGATACAACGAGGGGTTACGTATGGTAACCCTTGTTATATAAGCCCTGTCTGTCCTATGCTGGTTGCTGAAGAGAAGTGTATGATGACAGTCAGGAGGCGAGGCCTCCTTTTATGCGGTGAGATGCCCGCACATTCAGGTAGGGCCGCCCTGGGGCCGGCTACGTCTATAGAAGTCTCAGTGGATGAATGCTCGCATGATATGATCAAGGGGAGTGGGTTAAATTGGGAGAAGCTAAAAACGGTTCAAGTCAAAAGGCTCAAGCCAAGTGACTGGTGCTGAAGTCCATGTGGAGCTGCATTTTTATTTTATTCTGTCGAGTTGAGTCTAAAGTCATCAAATGTAACTTGAGTCTATTTGAAGTCATGTGACCCCCCCCCCCCTGCAGACTCTACCTGTGTGTGTGTTCATGCTGTATGTGTTCTGGCCTGGTTCTTGTGACTCGACCCTCACGGCGAGGGGACAGGGGATGTCTGCTCTGTGACATCGTCCCCCCTCCCCGTTATACATGCCACCCATGTGCATGATGTTGTTGTACACCCTCCATCCCAGCAGCCCATTGGCCAGAGGAGGGAGGAAGCGGCGGTCGCTGGGTAGAGTGTCGGTGGAGAAGATGTAGGGGTCTTCGACTTCCTCAAAGGACATGGCGACGAGATGGTCCTTACTTTGTAGTCAGGGATAGTTGGGAGGGTCACAGCTCTTCAACAGTGAACAATGATTTCACCTATGGTAGAAAACATTTATTTGTTTACATCAGTTCTCTTTTTGCAAAATTATACATATATATATATTAAATGTGATTATAATAGTTAAATGTCTGTACAATATAACTGGATTACACAAAAATATCTCCAGTTGCATGATGATGAGACATTTGAAAATTGCTGGAAACTTTTAGTGGAACCAAACACACAGTTTTCACAGGTTACTGCCAGTAAAGTCTATTTGTAGATTGTGTACTTTGTCACTTTTGTGTCACAAGGCATGTGTCATCCAAAGACATCATAAAACAAATAGAAGATCAGAAAGATTTCAAATGATCCTAGGACACAAAGTACTCAGTTATTGAACATATCTAAAAGTATTAATTACTAAGACATTCATATGCAAAAAATAAACATCCAATCTATGAAATCAAGCTAAGCCACTCTTTAAAAGTTAGCAGAGTTGGAGTCAACAGTCTGCATAAACATCCTGCATAATTTCTTTCTGCGCACTCTTACCAGACTAGTACAGTGTTTCACTCTCGCGTGAAAAGGCAGACGCATCTGTTTCTGCAAGAAAAAAGGAATGCTGGTGAAAAAAACAAAGTGAAGAAAAAACCAGCAGGAGATCCAAAGCGCTTGTTCTGTAAAGTTAAACCTACATAAAACAGCTTATGTGCTGTACTTCATACTATAATTCACGCCTAATAAAAGCGAGAAACTCAAATGTTTTTGAGAAAGATGGTCCAAGTTTGTAGTGTCGAGTATCCTAACTGTAGGAAGAGGCCATAAAGCCCTCTGTGCTGCAAATAAAACCTGGACTGGATTATGGATCTGATGGAAAACACGGCATGGATTCAATGTGGAGGATGAGGCAGAGTGTGTGTGATCCAGCTGTGCAGTTTACACTGGATCCATTGAATAAATCCCCAGTGTTGGAGGAGGAGGAAGTACTCAGATCCTTCTCAAGTGAAAGTACAAATACTATGGTCTTAAATACTAAGATGCTCTAATAGTAGTTAAAGTAATGTTTTCAAAATGTTACTTACAGTACAGTACAGTAGCCTAGTATTAGCATTCAAATATATAAATCACAAAAAGCACTCATTCTGTACAACGTCCCATTTCAGAATAATATAGATTACAGAAGTATTATCAACTGATTGTACTTCAAGTATCAAAAGTAAAAGTAAATGTTGCAGAATATATGTTTTTACAGTATTATATTATTATGTTTGTAATATTTTATTTGACTATTAGACAATATGGAGCAGTTTAGATAATTGAAATACTGTGCAGATTAGTATTACAGTACTGCATTATATACCATAAAAGCATATATGTGTTTATGTACAATTAACTGTGAGTGTTCAAATAAATCTAGTGGAGTAAAAAGTCTGGTATAAGTATAAAATAGCATTCAATGGAAATACTCAAGTAAAGTACAAATATGTCAAAATAGTACTTGAGTACAATACTTGAGCAAATGTAGTTACTTTCCACCACTGGTAATCACCACTTAATAAACAGGCTCATTAGATTTCAATTAAACCTCAAGTGCACGTATCACTCTGTGTATGAATTAAACTAAAAGGTCTAAACAGAGTAAATAATAAACTTTAGTTCCAGGTGTACAGTGTTAGTCTTAGTTAAGGCTGTAATGGCTGCCACCTTATTCGTACATATTCACAATTAAAACACCATGCAGGGCCGCTTGGCTGAGGCTGTAAAAATACTCTGCAGGTCACATTGAGTGTGTTTACATTTCTATCCTATCTCTTCCAAGAACACCACGTCACTCTCTTCTAACTAAATCATGTCACATCCACTCTGCTCACCAGGCTCTATAAACTCCCTTTTTACCTTTTTTGCTGTTATCTCTTATTTTACTCCAGTCCCAACAAGCCTCATGATAATTTGGGACAATTTGGAATCTTGTTCAGAGTTTAAATAACTTAAATCTGGTTTTGCTTTTACCTTGTTTTATCTTAAGTGCTGTACAAATAAATATTATTAATGATCTATTTTTATCTCTATCATTGGGGTTGCAGGCAGTGCTGCCCCTCTCCATATGGGGGCATTTGGTGGAAGTTATTTACGCAGCCCCACAACCACCAAAACAAGAGTTAAAACGTGTTTTTTCTTCAACATAGTTCATTTAGAGGTCAAGTTGCCGACCATAGAATGCAACATCCGGAGTTTTCATCCAGCTGGGGGCCTTTTCTGCATGTTATGTCTCTCTTTCCCCTCATTTCCTGTCATTTCTCTGCTTTAGCTATCAAATAAAGGCAAAACATGTCAAAGTAATACTTTAAAAAACAGGATAAAAGCCAAGTTAACACTTTAAGAGATGTGGGGCCCAAGTTAACCTGCCAAGGCCCCTAACGGACACACTAACAACACATTTTGAAGAGAGCCCCACAAGCAACCATTATTTCTTGATGAAAACTACAGGTTTCAGAGTCAGTTTGTCTGTAATATTCAAATACAAATTTGCGACACTCAACCAAGATTACTCATGGAGGTAAATGGGTAAACGCGTCCTTTATAGCCTGTGTTTTTTTAATTCCACATGTTTTAAGCAAATAATGTAAAGATATTTTAAAAAAGTGACTCATACACATCACAATTATTACTTAAATTAAGACCATTTATTTTTCGTATTGAAGTTTTCTGAAATTTAAAATAAAAATGTTTAAAGGTAGTGGTATAAGGTGTAGTAAGTGTATTCCTGCTTATTTTTTGTATAGAAATTGTTAAATAAAAGACTAAATGTCAAAAATGCTAAAGGAAGAAACTAACAAACAATATACATCTCCTTTCAGCCTTAGCTCACCCTCAGCACTGCATGAGTTGCACCACTTGGTGGCGCTGAGGAGCTGTTTGTGTGGCATCTGGCATCGTGCCGGGGGTCAGAGCCACAAACCCTGGGAAAAGCAGAGCTTTGTCCATATAAGGCTGCAATCCATCCGCTTCCCTCTTCCTCCCCAGCTCCCTTCCTCTGTCTTTCTCAGACCTGAGGGATATTTACAGAGAGCCTCGGCCAGCCTGCCCTTCCTTATTAGGAGCGCAGCCTGTTGTCAGAATTTCTTCCACCCTGCAGGACAGTGGTCCATCTCCCTGCTCTCAGATGAGACAAACAGATGGATCTTAACTACACTACAGTCCAAATGGGCAACTGGTCCTTCACAGCTCCTACCCAGACGTCTACCACAGCACATGCAATCACTCTCATATCTATCATGTCAGTCAAGCAACTCCTGATGTAGTGTCCACCTGGGAGCAGCAATAGATTAATGGAACAGTCCAAACATGCTGTATATACATCGTGCTGCCCTGTTTCCTCACTGTGTTGCAGCTGTACCGTTCCTTTTTTTGTATCCAGTGATGAAAAACATCTGACTTCTAAATAACAGAACAACTGTAGGCAGTAGTGATACAATTAGGTAGAAACAAAACAAAAGAACAGGTGAAAACTAATCTCAAAAGTGAGATATTTGATGACTCCATCATTCACAACATGTCACTAAGTGTGGAATCCAACTAGCATTCATACTTCATACTAATATGGATACAAATTCTCACAATGTACATAATAACCAGACAGTAGCTACAAACACTTTTTTTTATTGGGGTGCGGACATCCATTCAATATATTAGAAAACCAACATGTGAAGAAAGGCTACATGGAATTTTACTTCAAAGGGGGGTATTATTCAAGACTAATATTTATACACATACAATATACATAATCATGCTCCCTGGCAAGAGAGGAATTGACAATGAAAAACTATGAAAATAATATCTTTATCAATGGTAATAATTAAAACCATTCATAGCATAATAGGCATTGACAGAACAGCAATTCTTTATAATTGTGCTATGACCTTTGACCTTCAGCTATCGGTAACTTCTCCTTCCACTTACTGAGTGGGAGGGTGCTGCTGTGACATACGTTTGTCTGTCTGGAGGACGGGCAAAGCATGGCAAATCTTGAATTGCTCCGCAGGGTGTAAAGTGCTGTGGTCAACTGACCTGGTCATTATTTAAGAGCATGGAGTGTGTCTGTGGTCACAAAAATAAAAAACTATGTGGGGAAGTGCATAGGTGGAGAGGTAGGTGGGTTCAAACACTTGCATGTGGAAACAAAACAACCCAACAGAGCTTTGTGGACTTCCCCTTGTCGTCAGGACGGTGCCGAATGCAAAGACAAGCCAAGTTTTTTAAATTTTTTATAAAGAACTTCAAAACCTTCATTGCTTGACAACATGTCAGAATTGAACTGTGATTGGGGTAAATTTGTGAATGTGTGACGTGAGTGTGTTCACAAAAAAATAAATACTCAGTGGGAGCTTTAAGGACCAAGCTGCCTTTCGCGCTCGTGGAATGTGCATGGAGGAAGTATGTGATGCACGCATAGGAATGTGTGTGCACGTTAATGTTCCCCTGATGCACAGTGGTGGTAGATGTTCTGTGTGCTGTGGGTCTCATGTTGCTGCTGGGGGAGCTCGGCCACAGGCCTTCATGCCAAAGGTCTTCCTGTGACAAACGGGCGCTAAGGCAAAACCAAAGCCACTCCAGCTGTTCACAATCCAAGTCAAGCTGTGGTGTTCGTGTACGTAGGACATTCTGCTGCTTCTCTCCCCCTCTCTCTTTCTCTCACTCTTTGGCACTGGGAGGAATGTGTGGAAGCAGGGAGGGAGGGATGGATGGATGGATGGAGGGGGGGAGGGGGGGGATCCCTGCTCTTCGTGTCTCTCTCTTTTCGTTTATTTGGAGAGTTTGCTGATGACACGGATCAGTGCTCCATTTTCATCTTTAAGACGCTGGTTGTCTGCTCTCAAGTCGACCAGAACCTGGAGGTAAAAAAACAAGTTTCCATTAAAACAGTCTGAGAAATGATCTGCTTGGTTTGACTTTATTATGAGACATTGAATTTTAAGATTAAATATCATAGGTAGTTTTCACAGCAATTCCTATCAGAGCAATACATGTTTCTAACCGAGTTGTTGCTACTACACTTAAAAGATAGCAGGACATCAAACTCTATGCAATAAGGCTCTAATGACACGAGATGCATTGCTACGAGCGAGTCCGCTTCAAAAACGCATCGGAAAAACAGCGTGTTGCGCCTGTGGAGCAACCGGGAGAGATTTATGAGCGACTTCTTGTCGTTGCTATGCAACCAGATAAGGAGGAAACGCAACCTTGAATTATACAGTAACATTTATTCAAAAACTTCTAATATCAATCTTTTGTCTGCATCTGCCATTGTCCTGTCTACATCTCCCAACATCAAAAGAGAAGGAAGTGGTAAAGTAATAAAGCTTTTTTTCGCTTAATTTGATTGGCTGCGACATAGGTAGGTAGGCAGGGTAGGTAGCCATAGAAACAGAATTGTCTCGCATTTAAGGCTCTGTGCAATACCTGGTGATGAGTGAGGAAGAACATTTACTATCATGTGAATGCAGCTTAATGCAAAAAAGAGAATATTTAAACTATAATTTGGGTCCAAAAATCACTTCAAAAACAGGGCCCATGGTGCAGGAGATGGGGGGGATGGGGGGGGGTTTACCATTGGAAAACACTGGTTTCGCTGTTTGACGCATTTCTAATGACGCATCTCGGTGTGACTGGGGCCTAAAGGCAGTGATCTTTTTTTGTTTTTTTGTTCGGTGTTATGCAAACACGTCATGTGTGAAGCCTAGAGAACTATAAGTAACATCACAGTTATCATTTTCACATTGTCACATTTAAAAAAAGAGAGTATTGTATTCATTGTTTTTTTTGCATCCTAGAATGAGAGAAAGTAATGAAACAAGAAAGAAACAGTTGGACATTTTGTGAAATACTTGTATTTGCTTTGTTGCTGGGAGTTAGATGTCTTATCTAACTCTCATCAAGACAACAAATAAGCATATTTCCCAAAATGTTGAACTCTTCCTCAAATAGAAGGACTTTACCTATTCATTCTTTATTACTGAAGACATCAGACAATTATGAGATGAAATTATGAGAGCGCAGAGATCAGATGGGTTTCAGGTAGTTTGGTAGACAAACAGAAACAACCATTAATGTGAAAATCAACCACATTTATCACATGTAACAGAAAACAGTTACCCTCCTCCCTGAAAACAGGTGGAGGGAGGAGTGTATTCAACAACTGTGCACCAACTCCACATCACTGCTGCCTGCACACTGCAGCCAGGCTGATCAAGCAGAAACATGCAAAGTGAGTTCGGCCATGATAACACTCGTCTGCTCACCTTTAGCTCCTCCTCCAGCTCGGCCATTCGCCGCTCCAACATCCTCCGGTCCTGACGCCACGGCAACGTGACGGAGCCCAGAGAGGAAGTGATGTAGAGAGGAAGAAGGTGAGTGAAAAGAGGTGAAGGAGTGAAGAGGAGAGAGGAGAGAGCGTCAACAGACAGCAGTGGTGGCCGTAGTGAGGCAGATGAAGCTAAAACAACAGGAACACCATCAGCAGGGATGCGTTACCTTTCTCTCCAGGTCCAGCATGGCTGAGCAGTCGCTCAGACGCTCCTGTCTCTGTGGGACTCAACAAATCAATCACGTTAACACCATCAATCTATCACGTTAACACCATCAATCTATCACGTTAACACCATCAATCTATCACGTTAACACCATCAATCTATCACGTTAACACCATCACCACAACAAGATCACTTGATAGCCTGTGAAATGATAGGTTACAACCTGCAACATTTTGATGTGGCTGTCTCGTTTGCTTTTTTTGTTAATTTTATCTTTATACATAGTATTACTTCAAGTTGATTCACATAGGACTATGCGCATTTAAATAATTTTACAGCATGACTCTTCGAGAGGTTTTGATTACAATTGAACATGGGAAACCTTGGCCTTACTTATTAAAGGAATAAAGAACAAGATGATGGATGGGAAATCATATTCTCAATCATTTATTCTATCAAGCCAGCTATAGTCTGACTATCGGTTTCATGTACTCGGTACGCTTGGTCCATATCTGGAAAGAAAGATTAAAATGTTTGGACTTGGACGGGGGACATTTTTAAAAATCTGTATTTTATGTATTATTTCTTTGAAAAACATAGATGTTTTGTTTCCATCCTCAAAGTACTATTTGGGTATAGAAAAGACAGCAATACAAGGGACAGACACCTGAACTGAGTGTGTGTGTTTGTGTGTTTGTGTATGTGCTTGTTGGGGGGGTGGTCACCTGCGTGGCTTTCTCCAGGTCCAACCTGGTCTGACTGATGGTCCTCTGGGTGTCCTGCAGCTGAGACTGGAGCTGACTGTTTTCTCTGGAAACCTCCTCAAACAGCTGACGCACACAAACACACGCAACAGTAAATAACGGGTTGAAACGTGGAAAACAAATGTTCCTTACTTCGATATGAGTGCTGTCTGCTGACCTTCTTGAAATCCTTGGCGTCAGAGCTTCCTCCCTGGGTGCAGTCATTAAACCTGGGGAGACGGGCAGAGGTCAAAGGTCAGAGACACTGCCATCACTGACACCGTGCTGACAGAATGAAGAAAGACTGAAAATCAAAACAGGTCGAAGGCTACATTCATACCTGGAACTCAAGTGTTGGTCTGTCTGTGAACAGAGAAGGCAGTGTTAGTTTTATCATTCTTAGTCCTGTGTCCAAGGTTATTGTTATAATTGTTCAGTTCAGGGTCAACGTCAGTCTAAACTTTGTCCAAAAAACTATTTAAGTTGAATTTATGTCAAATGTAATTTCAGTCAACCTTGTTTAGTCCAAACATCCCCTTGTTTATTTCTTTCAGCCACTGATGTCATTCTATTAAGTCATTTACTCCAAATCCTTCTGAATGAGCTCATGTTGTAAAACAGTCTATTTCCTCTCTTCTTTGAAAGTAAAATAAAGCGAGATTTAAGCAAAGGTCTTGTTTTTTTAAACAACATTTGAACTAGGGCTGCAAGTTACGAATCATTTCAGTAGCAATAAAACTCCATATTTGAAAGCGTTTTTTTGCCATGTTTGCAGGAAAATGCAGTTATTTGTTTATCAAAAAAAACTGGCGTTGTTTTTCTGTCAATCAATTTATCGCTAAGTTGACTTAACATTGTAGCTCACTTTCAGTATTGAATGTCAATATTGTCATAGAAACGGTTTAATGACGTCAGTGCCGTCTCGACACACACACACACACACACACACACACACACACACACACACACACACACACACACACACACACACACACACACACACACACACACACACACACACACACACACACACACACACACACACACACACACACACACACACACACACACACACACACACACACACCTGTGGATCCAGCCCACTGCCTGAGAACTCTTCCTCCCCACTGGGATCATTGTCATCACTCTGCAGATGAAACAGATAATGCATGGTGTTCTCATAAAAACACTCACATCTCGTTCAAACATTGCTAGTGTTTTTTTTGTTTTTTTAATTCCTGCATGAATAATCCAGATAAAAAGATGTGAGCGGTGTTTACCTCCCCGGTCCTCTGCGCCTTCCTCCTGGCCCGAGCCTGCCTCCTCTCCCTGCGCTCCCTGGCCCATCGCTCTGTCTCGCTCTCCCCTGTGCTGGCCTCAACATCTGGAACAGAGCCAAACAGCAGTTGTTGAAGAGAAAATTAAATGTTTTAACAAACAAACCACATTTTCAAGCTCTGTGTTTTGTGAGAAGAGGGAGGTGGGGATGTGTACCTCTCCTGTCGGCCGCCTGAGGCCGCGGAGTGCCGGCGGGCTGAGTGAGGCCCAGCAGGTCAGACTTCTGCAGACTGGCAATACGAGACCTCCAGCTCACTTCCTGTAAACACAGCATCCCCCGCTATATGATGTCACGTTACATTATATAAGAGCGACCAACACAGACCCATAACTCTGATATATGGCTCTCACCCCCTCCTCTGCCTTCTTTGCTTTGGCGTCCTTCTCTTTCTCCTTCTCTTCCTCCTCCTCCTTCTTTTCTCTCCCTTTGTTGTCTGTCTTCATCGTCTTCTCTGCCTCCTGCAGGTCTGTTAGCGTCACCCCCTTGATGTAAAAAAAATCACTGTCTTACATACACACAGTACTTTGGGAACATGCAGTGAACATGTGAGCGGAGACTGTTTGTACCTGAGTGGAGCGGCGGGACTGCCGGGCGTGTCTGGAGCGAGCCTTCCTCTGGGCCTCGGCCTCCTCGTCCCGCACCGGCGTCAGATATGATCTACACAGGTTGAGCACTTTTAGATTCAACACAGCACCTTCAGATAACTACAATTATTGCCTGGTGGTGGTGGTTGTGGCCCCCCCCCCCCTGAACACTCAATTTGCAGTTTACATCCACTGTTTATCCAAAATGTCATCACTTAAACTAGCCCTCAAGTGCTGGAGGGATTACAAATGTGTGTGGGCAAAGACTGAACGTTAGCATCACATGATCCCAATGAGATCTTTCCAGAAATGCACAATTGGGTATTACGTAAAATATCAAATCTCCTTAATTTGTGTTCTTAAATTTGTGTTAACCAAAGATATTCAGGTTTCTAAACAAAGTTGCATTCTAAAAGACCCTTTTGACTTGAATCTGAAGAGCGAAAATGCTAGCAAAAGGGCTAACTCATATCCGGGTTTTAGGACTAATTTCTGTGTAAAGTCTTCTAATAGTTATCTAATTCATTATTGAGTTATGGCCAAAAATGTAGTTGTGATGTCTCAATGACTGGAACCATTTAGAACCCACTTCTAATACATTCATTCTTGATTCCAAGTGGACGTTTGTGAAGTGCTCTTGAGATATCATAATTACTAGTATGGGATTTAGGGATGGACAACCGGTAAACACAGATGCTCTGTCCACCACTATTGTTAAGATGGTGGCACACACTCGCATCGACGCACTCTTCCCCCTGACTCACTTGCGCCTCTGCTTGGCCTCCTGTTCGCCCGTGGTCGTGCTTCGGGAATTGGAGGTGGTGACGGCAGACAGGTCCTTCTTTTCTGTCTGTTCCTGAGGAAGTCTTACGGGGAGAGATAAGAGGTGACTATTAGATCTTTCACAAGAGAAAGAAAAAGGAATAGGAAAATAGAAAAAGCAAATGGAGTACCTCTGGGTCAAGACACTATTGAGGCGGCCGAGTCCAGCAGAGCTCGTTCCTGTGCTAGCTGAGGTCATGGTGGGGTCATCCAGTCTCTTTCCATAAGATGAGCTAGAAGCAAAACAAACCGCTTCAAAACAGAAAGGCGTTTTTCACAGCCACACACACAAATGACACGTTTAGTCACTGCAGGGGGAATGTTATTAGCGGTGACACAGCAATAACAAAATCCCACACACACACATGACAACAAACAAATACAGAGCATTGAGCAGCATGACTGACCTGTGAAGCAAAGAGGGGGTGGAACTAGTGAGGTCATTCCCTGATTGACTATGAAGGCGCCGGGTGTAAGAGGAGCTACGACTTAGCCAGCTGAGAAGGAGACAGGGTGACAGGGGCACACAACCAGTGACTCAGAAAAACACAATCTGCTTTCACAAGCGCAGAAAGAGCATTTGAGAGCAGCGGCTCACCTGTTGGAGTTGTCAGGGCTGGCGTCTGGGATACTGAAGAGTCTCCGGGTCGGGATGGGCGGCACCCGAGCCAGCCTAGGCTCCTGAGAACGAGGGGAAGATAATAGTTCATCAGGTTATGTGACTCAGAAGCTGTGAAAGAAGCCTTTATTTGGAGTCCCGTTAGATTTGTATGACAACAACTGGTTTCATTAGAGTTTAAAGTCTGAGTCATGTGAGCGCCGGCTGTGGTGCGTACCTTGGTGTCGGCCTCAGAGCTGAGGCGGGGGCTAGAGGCGGAGCGGGTCATGCCCAGCACGCTCTCTGCAGGTCTGATGGGGTCCTGGCTGGTGTCAGACAGACCAGCCGAGCCCAGAGTCATCGAGCTACCTGCCTTCCTCAGAGACGTTCTCCAGGAGCCCGGGACCTCGGGGGCGGGGGGCTTGCCTGGGTCCTGCTATACAGCCAGCAGAAGTCAACATCTGTATTGCTGTCATGCAGCTAAAACATTTGCTTTGATGTTGGCCATGTAATGTCTTTGTATATTACCTTTTTCACTTGGCTTGGAGCAGTACTTGTTGGTACGGAGGTAGGAAGCACGCTGCTGGAAGCAATGCGTTTGTTGTTCAAGTTGTTTATGATCTCTCGGTTCTTCGCTTTCTCTACAACCGTGCAAAGGTCGGAAATAATTAACTCACTAGCAGAACCATAAAAACCCACCAGATTGAAAAAACACATCAGTTGTGAAAGACAACTTCTCGGCAGCTTCTCCTACCCGACTCCGCGTCGCTCTCCGACTCGCTCTCCTCCTCCGAGCTGGAGCTGCTCGAGGCCTTCCCCTGGCTCTGAGGCTGGCTCTGTCTCGTCTGCCCTTCCTCCTCCTCGTCCTCAGCTGGGCTGCTCTGCAGGGCCGGAGGGGGGTGCTTCTCCCGCTCGTGGAGATAGATCTTCTCCTTACTGCTCATACGAGAGATAGAAGTCCTGCAGGGGCGGGGCCAAGGTGGGGTGGAACAACAGGTGGCATGCAGGGAGCTGATCAGTGAGGGCAGTCATTCCACGTGCAGCCAATTAGAGCGAGCATGCGCCGATCAACACATCGGTGGGTGGACCAGTGGGTCATTTTCTGTGAGGCTATGAGTAGCTATGCCGTATTATTGCTAGATCACAATTTAGCAGGAGGTAACTTCAAACTAAACATTTTTGATCTAATCAATTGTATAATCGTTCTTTAATATGTAAGACGGCAAGCTACAGCATCTACACAAACGTGTGTCCCAACCACATACTTTATACTAAAGTATTTGTTTTGTACTTATGGAAAGTGTGCAATTCTGGCTTTCAGTACACAAGAAAATCCCTCGTAACGAGATTTAAGTTCTAACTGCTGCCAGTATGCAATTTCCAAAACTCAATGGGAGGGACCAATGGGAGCTATTCAATTTGCAGAATTAGCTAAAAACAGATTGTCTTATCATTTGAACCGAACACAGCTTTCTGGATTTGCCACAAAACTGACAGACATCAGTGTATAATGATAGATTACATATTGCGATAAAGGACGTTCTATATATTTCAGAACAATAAGAGCTAGGTATAAAAGCTCCTTTAAACGACATGTGTATTTTTTATCCTTTGATTTTTTTCTTAACTATGCTGTGCTTTATTTTAATTGTATTCTTTCATTTCCTTTCATTATTGCTTATAATTGTTAGTTGTAATCATTTAAGAGTTGATTACTGTTCTCCCTCTGTTGCATTGTAGGAACTAAAGTATACATTCAAACTCATTTTTCAAAAGAGTTCACACTATCTTAAAAAACTGTAACATTTAGTATTCAGTATGGAACTGGGACACAGAAAGTCGCTGCCTGCTACATCTATCCAGTGTTAATGTCAGTGGATAGAAGCAGCTCGTTTCAGAGGAATGCTGGGACTGTTAACATCAGATCTGCATGCAAACTACTGGTACTGGGATGACTGGGATTCAGCTGAGGAACAGCGTAGCGTGTGCCCACATACACACACAAACACATGCCCACACACCAACACACTGACTGGCACTGACCTGCGTGTGCGGAGTGGTACCATGGAGATTTGCTGGCTGGTCCCAATAACAGGAGTCTGTTTCTCTTTCTCGCTGCGTAACTGAAGAGGAATATAAACACACATAAACACAGAGAACATCCACCGCTGTAAAACTATCAATCATATCAGGTTTATCTAACTGAGATAGTTGTGAAGGCAGACTCACGGCATTCTGCTTCTTCTGCAGCTCCTCCAGAGTGTCCGCTAGGTTCTCATGCGCAACATCTAGAGGTGTTTGGCCCTACAAGGACATTCACAGGGCTTCATCAGTCATGGCGCTAATAAAGGCTTCATGTCATAGAACAGAAGAAAGGTGGTTTGTCTTACCACATTGTTGACGGCACCCATATCGCACATGTTGTCAGCCAGCAGGGAGCACACCTCCTCCTTCCCCCAGTGAGATCCTGCATGCAGGGGCGTCCACCCGTCGATGTCCCTGCTGTCCACGTCCACATCACACTTTAACAGCACCCTGAGGAAGCGAGGAAACAGGCAAGATGGAAGGAGGTGAGGTATATCTAGGAGGCTAGAGCTGTGATACCAAATTAAGACAAAAGCTAACAAGCGGTCATTGCTCTTCGTAGACTTATTCTTACTTCAGGACTTCGATGTAGCCTTTGGCAGCAGCAACGTGCAGAGCGGTAGCTTTGGTGTTGGGGTGAGGTGTAAGGGTCCCGCTTCCTGCCTGCACGGCCATGGCGTCCTGAAGCATGACCCTCTCCTCCTCTTTTCTGGCCTGGTCCACGTCTATTGCTGTGATAGGCACATGGAAAACAGTGGCACTTGAACACACACACGAGCACTCCTCAGTAGTTCAGAAGCTTCATTCATTACCTTCATTTCTATTCACTCTGTCGAGAATGTAATCAGTATGTCTGTATATGTGCAGATAAAGATCAGGCTACACTATTATTATTATTATTATTATTAGTAAGTTGTACTATTTGTAGAATATGAATACAGTGGTAGCAGCGTAGAATTGTTTCTGCCACATGTGAACCAAACATTTCACATTACTCCAGAACGAGGAAATGTAATGCTTGACGCACACAAAGGGAGGTACGCACTGATGAGTGTTATTGATGAACCAATGCTATTTAATTTAAAAAAGACAATTCAAATCTAATGAGTCACAATGTTTTTTATATTTTTTAAATGTATGGCAATGAGGTAATAATAATGCCAGTAGACATGTAAAGCTTTATTGACATTAGGTTTGGCTTGATTGATTAGGTACAGCCACAACAAAAACACAAATCAGAATTAGACCTTTGAAAAGTCTAAACTGCAGAAAGAAGACAACATATTAAATGTTGTATTAGATTTGTCATCCGTGACTTGATCTCAGCAATGTGTGTATACGCCTGGAGCCTCAGTGCATTTCAGTACTATGAAGGTCACAGAACATTTACCCAGTACACACTGACTCTGTCCTCGTTTATATGCCTATTTTTGTCTTCTCTTACGAGACGTATGCTTTTACGGTGACAGCTAGTAAAACAGGACAAAAATGCAAAGCAGGGCTTAGTATGGCCATTTATGAGAAGAGTTTTGAATAGTTTTCACTCCAAGTAGACTGAGCCTTGTTCAAGTTCCTAATTTATTCAGCTCTTATTTTTCTTTTACTAATGCCAAAGCTATTGAGAACCACCCAAGACACATGGACAACACAGCTAAGTACCTGAAAGCACCTCATCATCACTGCAGGGCCTTGGTAGCTGAGTGGTTACAGCACATAAACCCACAACATCACAAGTTCAAATCTGGCCTAGGGACCTTTTTTGCATTTCATTTCTGCATGTTGCACGCTGCTATTTTTACACTGTCCTCTTTCCCATCAAGACTAATATTCAAAATAAGCCCCTAATCATCTGCAAGGCAGCTTGCCTTACGCGGAAATGTGTATATTATGATCTGATAATCATGTAAAGACTTAGAGTACAGTGAAGAAAGCCTCTGCCAATCAGTACAACTAACTTTCCAAAAACGCATCAGTTTCATTGGTTTAATTACTCAAGATAGTGAATTATTGGTTCCAAAATTGAATGGCTCTATGTATTGGTATAATGACAACATCCCAACATATTTAGTTGTCACTGAAAGTCATCTAAATGTTAGTCTGAAATGCCAGAACTTAGGGAAAGAAAAGGCAGAGCTCACCCAAGCTTTAGTAGACGTTTTAATGTGTGAGCGATTCCTCACCTTGCTTTTTGATTTCCCCTTTGAGAAGTCTCTCCATGGCGTCTTCCGTGGCCACGTCCAGAGGAAGCTCCCCTTCACTGTTCACCGCCCCGACTTGAGCACCGTGCTCTATTAGGTATCTTCAAAAACAGAAAGACAGAAATTGTCGAGATGAAAAAGTTAAACTATACACTGTAAGTTAAACAAATGATTCATATTATTTTACATTACATTTCAATAATTCATCAGCATTGTTAACACATTATCCTCCGGTATTTTAAATAACCATGAAAACTATAACATTTGAACCCACAGATTTAGGTTGAATGGTGCTGCATCGACACTCACTTGGTGATCTGGATGAATCCGCAGGAGGCGGCAGCGTGCAGAGGAGTCCAGCCCTCATTGTCCCCTCTGTTGACATCACTCCCGCTCTCCACCAGAAACTGCACCATCTCAGCATTTTCATCAATGCAGGCCTGCCAGAGGACACACAACCACATGATGAATTGATAACCTAGTGTTTATTGTTAGTTGGTTATTGTGACAATCCCCGCTACACACATGTAAAAAAACAGAAACCGACAGAATGTCAGTCAGAGTCCAGGTTCAGTAGACCCGGTTTATTTTTAGTTAGTTGAAAAAGTCAAAACTTCCCACACTTTGAAATCTTTTAAAATCATCTTAAGCACTGGGGCTAAAACAATGCCTACTGTGTCTACTTGTATTGACTTATTGTTAAGTGGGCTGCTAAAAGCCCTCAAGTACCTGCCAAAACTCATTTTGTGGCCTGAGTTAAACAGCAAATCTATTTAGCTGATTTTCCTGAAGCTAAGTCGAGCTCGGATCCCAATGTGACAAAGGTCCCAAGATGAATCTCATGAGGATCTCATGGTATTATGATACAATATATCTTTTTTTTTTTTAATGAAAAAAATTAATCTGAGGGTGGAATCTGTGTAGGCCTCTGTTTCAAGTGAACCGTTTTTATACTGCAAAGCTCTGGTTATTAAACTCATTATTTATAAAAGTAATAAAACCTGCCAGCGGGGTAAGATTATTACAAACAGATTACAAGAGTTTCTCAAAACTAAGAGAGAACCTTGAAACAAGAAGCAAGGTAGATCCCTGCCACAGAAGTCAACTGTACTGTTTGAAAACATTCAAACAGTGGTAAATATTTTCCCCCTGAGCTAAATGCTTACATGCCAACATGTTCCCAGAGACAATGCTGATGTTAAGCAGCTATAACGTTAACAATGTTCGCCATTTTAGCTTATCATGCTAACATTTACTAATAAGTATTTAACACAAAGTGTAGCTGATATTGATGGAATTTTATTATTTTTGAAGGTATTTGTTAATAAACCAAAGTATTGGACAAACAAAACAAAAAGTTTGGATCAGCCTTCATTTAAATCCTCCAATCCCCCCTCCCCCCTTGAATATCTGCTCCAAATGTCATTGCGATTCATCCAATAGTTTTTATATAACAACAGATATTTCACTCACTCAGTACCACATAGTTCAAACTCACGTTGGCACTAGAGGAAACACCCTGGGATCGCCAAAATCAATAAGGTCATCTAAGAACCATAAACGTCCATACAAAATGTCATGACAGTCCAATATATTTTAGTGGAGATATTTCAGTCTTGACAAATCTTGTGCACCGAAACACCAACATTGCCATCCCTAGAGTCCTGCTGCCAACAAGGCTAAAAGTACCTAAGAGGATTTTGCAGTAAAAACCACTCGCTCTAAAACAGATATAAATCAGCATGAACTGAGTGTAACTTACAATAGAATAGAATCGGAGGGATGAAACCCTCTTTAATGGTCACACATGCAGAGCACACAGCACACAGTGACATTTGGCCTCTGCATTTACCCCATCCTAGTACCAGGAGTCTAGTACTAGAAATAGGGATGCTAAAATTAATCTGGACTCATGGTAAAACAAAAAGGCAGGCAGACCACTTAAAGATGGACTTTTATTAATCCCTCGTGGGGAAATGTTTCTCTGCATTTGACCCATCCTAGTGTTAGGAGCAGTGTGCTGCCATTTGGAACGGCGCCTGGGGAGCAGTGTAGGGAACGGTGTCTTGCTCAGAGACACTTCGGTAGCACTTGGTCTTGCCGGGACTTGAACTGGTGACCAAGTTCCAGTTGCCAAGCCAACTCCCTATCGACTTCGCCACCGCCACCACCACTGCTGTTATATAAATCAAGCAAACCTTTTTGCATTTCCCACTGGAATATTACCTAAAGAAGTACTGTGCGTTTGTGTCAGATATCATTAACAGCTGATGAGATGACATCTGCTCAGAACAAGACTGCACTCGCTAACCTGACAGCGTTTGAAGAAATTCATGATCCTCTGTCGCTCTGCAGGACCTCACAGCAGCAAGTGTCTGTAGTCACACAGGGCCGTGTCCATCAGGCCGCCTTAAGCCACCTAAGAGGCTTTGCTTTTGGGCTAAATCAACTTATCACAAAGCTGCTACAAGTCTCCAGCCTCCTTCATAATATAAGATAATTACTCAGGTAGATGGGCTGGGTTGTAACATTTTTTTTTAAAGTGGTCATTTTAAGTGCTCCAGATGGGACTGGTAATACAACGCAGAGCCAGAAGCTCGCGAGCCAAAAAGCAGTGTTCAGTGGCAGCAGGGGGCGGGGGGTCCCTCTGAACAAGTGGGTGCTCCAAGCTGAATGAATGAACAGAGGGCACTTCTCGCACCCTCCGAGGGTGCACACACTGCCTCCCAGCAGACTCCTTCACTGGGTCATCAAGTGACTCATTGTGGAAATCGCCTTTGACAACAGCAGTTTGAGGAATGTTTTCCATTTCTTCATCCGAAATCCCTAAAGTCCCCACCAAGGGGAATTGGCAAGGGGAAGGAGAAACAGAGAGAGAGGAGAGGAGAAAGAGGAGGGGGAGGAGGAGGAGGATTGGGGGCAAGAGAGAGTGAAAGCATAGTGGAGAAGACAGAAAGGCTTTGGATGGAGAGGATGGAAAGTTTGGAGAGTGTTGGCCTATATTTAATCCTGATTGCCAGGCAACCGATGAGCAACAGGGGAGAGAGGGATGGAGGGACCACACTGCGAGACACGTGGATCGACCAAAAGTGGGCATGTTCACCCAACATCCAGGAAGAAACATGCTCACATACTCATCTGAACCGGTCATGGGAAGGCTACTTCATCAAATACACATAGTTGGACTAAATCAGGGGGAAAACACCAATCATCTGTAAGAATGATGTAACTGCGAGCACACCGCTGAACCATAATTCAGCTCCAGTGGGCAGGAAAATTAAAAGCACAACATCTTTCATGTTGCTTGGATATCACACGTAAACCCATGTGACTGTGAAATCAATGTGAAGAGACAAGCATTGCGTTTATGACACGCGGCATCATAAAAGCAGAGGAAATGCTGCCTCAACGAAGGCTTGTGTGACAGTGATGTTGTCCAGACGGCTCCTCTGTGTTATTACTGAAGTGAAGGGGAGGGAGGGACATTAAAGGCTGAGCTGCTTTAAGACTAGAACATGCTCAGGAGAAGTGCAGCCAATTTGGGACATGCAACAATCCTCACACTCAGATTAAAAACTGAGAGTTTACATTCCCTCTTTGATCCTGCCTTAGATTCTACTTTCATATTGGGAGTCTTCCATTTCGACTTCTTCCTTTAAAAAATAAATAAAAAGCTGTTGATCAGATGATGGATATGACCTACTGTTTTAAACGAGACACCACCAGGGCCCTTCATTTCTAAGAAAGATCACAGTCTTCTTCAGTTTAATGCTGCTCACTGATATCCTTACATCTTAACTATGTATGCTAGAAAAAAGAAGCCTATAACTTACTAGGTACAACATTGTGTATGGCCCAGCATATTACCAACAGGCTCACACACTAACACACAGGCCAGAAGTGCTGCTGCTGCTGGGACTTTAAAAACAAGTCTAGAGAGGGTAAAGTGATGGGCTCAGTTTAAGCCACCATAATAACAGCTGTTAAAATGAACAGACATACCTGAGATTAACTGTTCGTCCTTACCTCTAACCAATTTAACTCCACGATAAGTTAAGCTAAAGTTAAAGTTGAGTTAATGCTTCTTCGCTGTGAGGATCATTAACGAATACACGTTGTTGCTATGCGAGCAACAGTTAGCTCAAACTCAAACGTTAAACAGTTTAATCTAAACGGTCGTTAACGGTTAACTCTTAGACACGAAGCTACATCTAAACGGTCGTTAACGGTTATATAGTAACGTTAAGGCTCCTACCTGATGAAGCGCTGTCAGCCCGTCTATGTTGGCGTGGTTGATGTCAGCTCCCTGCCGGAGTAGCACCGCCACCTCCTCCCGGTCTCCGGCGGAGCAGGCGGCCATAAACACGGCTCCCTGGGCGAACCGGACTCTCGGCCGCCGCGTCCCGGAACCGCTCGAAGTTTCCCGGTTCTCCGATAGCGTCCGATCCGTCTCCGAGCCCAGCCATCGCTGCAGCTGATCCTGCCGTCGCTGTTTGGCAGCTTCGGACCGGGAATGGTCAGTGGCCGCCATCTTCCCTGGTCTGTCCCGGACAGATTCAGCTCATGGTACGAGGAGAAGGAGCGGAGTGTTTGGAGTGAGCCTGCCTGCCCTGGGCTGTGCCCCCTGGTGGAGACTCAGAGGAACCGGGAACTTCTGACAAGTGGCAGTCCTATGCTGCCTTCAAGGGCCACTCGGAAAGTCCTAACTCGATGGGAGGGACAGTGTTTTGTTCAATAAAATGCTCTGACACCCTGTCCTCATTGTGCAGCTCCTTGTCTCCGCTGTCTCACGGAGAGATACCGCAGGTCCTTCCTTCCTGCAGCGGTCAGACTATACAACCAGCAGAGACCCTAGTAGACCCCCCACCCGACACACACACCACAACACAGACTATAACACCCCTTTCTGTTAAATACCAACAAACTATGTGCACTATGTGCTACAGTATATGTGCAATATATGCCGTTAATAACTGTGTAAATACCTGGTAAATACCTGGCTGCTAAATCCTTAGAACTGTTTCAAGATGTTTATTTTGTAAATTGTGTAACTTGCTGCTGTTAAATACCATCCAACTATGTGCAATATGTGCTACATGTGCACTATATTAAAACGTTAAAACGGTGCTATATGCCTGGCTGCTAAATCCTAAGAACTGTTACAGGATGTGTATTTTTAAAATTATGTAACTTTTTTTAAATTTGTATTTATTATTATATGTTTTACATTTTTTATTATATCATAACTTAGTACTTTTTAATGCATGTAACATATGTAACATTAAGCTGTCTGTGGCTCTTTTTCTGCTGTAACTACGTACATTTCCCCTCTGTGGAACTAATACAGGTATTCTGATTCTGATTCTGACTGTGCTGTACTATATTGCCTTTATTTTTCTTTGCAAAGTTGTTTTTTATCATGGACTACGTCATGATGTATAGTAAAAATGATGAGTAATTCTCATTTTCATGAATTACATGTACAATTATATTTATATTGACAAATATATTTAAAAAGTATTTATATTTTATACATCTGTATTTTGATATGAATTTATTATAAGTGTGATAGGCACTAGGAAATGTTTTAACGTTGTATGATTGTTATGTGTGTACTTGCCCAAGGACTTCAACTGGAAATGAGATTTGCCTATATCCGGCATATACAGTAGCATTTCTTCACTTTTTGAGATTAATGTATGTTTATGCATTAACATTTAGTGTACAGAAAATATATCATAATAACAAAAATGGATTTGAACAAAACATAATCAAAACTCTGAACAAAATATAATGCAGACAAATAACCCTGATAAATGTTTTTTTTTTTTTTTTCAAAGGAAACATAAAAATGTGCCCTTTTTCCATTGGTGGGGTAAACTGTATTTTATTTTATAATTATACCGTTTCGGGAACCGTATTCGAGATGTATTGAGATGTAAGATTTTACTCATATTTGAACTGCATAATAATAATAATGTAAAGTGTGTATGCTATTTTATTCAGGGTTTCTTTTGATTATGCATAATATTATTGGTTTTTAATAGTGCTGCATAATACTTAGACAGGCCATGTTTGTTTGAGCGATTTATTACAAACACTTTTCTATACTAATAAGTCCTCAGGAGACATGTATTTACATTGGTTTCTTATTAACACTACTTGTGTTTATCCTTTTTATTATTGCAAGACGTGCTTGTTACTTGTATCTTGTCATGTACCTGTTTTTGTATAATTGTTTCCACCTTATGGTCATCTGTTGGTTCGTTTGTTTAAAGGGGGACTACTAGGGTATACAATAATGTACCTACTGTAGCCTACAGTATTAAAGATGGATAGCAATGAAGTCTCTGTTTTCACATATCTTACTTTGTGAGTCATTGAGGCCAATGTAACACAGATTGTACGACATGCACTCCACCTTAAAACTTCAGAAGCTGTCTCACATGTAAAACAAGATTAGGAAACAGGTTTGAGAGTCACTTTTCCCGACATCTCTTGAAGGCACTGTGACGTCTCTAGGCAACAACGATGGGCAATGACTACACCAGGGGATTCCCGATATGCGCCTCTAGTTTAGACAGTACGGTACTCTGACTGTAAGTAAGTCCTTCTTTATAATGGCAGAATTTGCTAACATTTGACTTATTATTGAGATGCATTAAGTTAATAGATTTTAAAGTAACGTAGCATCAAGCATATACTTCATCTGCGTCTCCTTTACATTGTACTTTTTTTTTGTAGTTTTATATACAAATATTTTTAAAAAGTAATGTTTTTAAGTCTTATTTTGATCCCTTTATTTTTTCATATTAAATATCTTTATATAGTTTTTTCAACTATATATCATGTCATGTTCTGTCCTCCATACCTGTGTGCTCGTTGTGTGCATTTTTCTAGTTGTATTCTTATTTTTAATACATTGCTTTTAATTTATTTCTTCTGTTTATCTGTAATCATGTGTGTGTGCTGCTGAAACACTTGAATTTCCATAAAGGCTTATCTCATCTTATACATATTTCAAATATCTATTTCTATATTCACAAAACCAAAATAATTGTATGGGATTATTGGTTTATTTTTTCTTCAGAGCTTCTGGTTTTTCTTAGGAGTTTTTTATGATTCAAATAACACAAAATAAATGTAACTGTGTCCTGCAGTGGATTAAAGAGCTACAGTATTCCTGTGCGTTACAGTCACAAGTAGTATCTATCTATTATAATTTTGCTGGGATCATCTGGAAACCTCCCAAAACTCCTTCAGGACCCTGATTCACTGTTTGTTTAATGTGTAATGTTCCCTGCTCTGCGCACACTTTTCACCGTCAGTCGCAGCTTTTTCTAGGTAATGTGAGGATCATTGTCTAACTAAGTACTCACACCACAACACACTCATGGGCTGCAGTCAATGTTAAATAAATCAATTGTATTTAATGATCACATAAATATTATTCCCTCCAACATTTAGGCAATATGGTAAATTTACTTGGCAATTATTTCAATGCATAAGGCACAACAGTCAGTTATTTCTTATAGTCCACAAACAAGAATCAAGTATTCAACAGGTCCTAATTAACTCGGAAAGTGCAATTCAGATTAAACTGATTCTTTGATTATGAAAATATAATAAATATGTAATTGTTTGCATTTGAATGCAAATAAGAATGTGATTCTTAAGCCAAAAGTCAATACAATATACATTTAAAATTAAATAGTTTTTACTCACATCTAAGTAAAAAGATAATGAAACACACTTCTATGATTGGGATAAACAGAGCAGAGCAGTCTTTTATAAATAAGTTTAAGGAACAAAAGTAAAAAAACAAAGAAAATGTCTTTTTTTTTTTTACAACACTGCATTGACACTAAGTGGAACTTGCAACAACAGACTGGTGCTTCCACTGTTGGTCAGTAGTGTTTCAGAGCTGATGCAGATGCATGAGGAACCATATAGAAAACAGTTGTTTTACATCTATGGGAGAAACACTGTTGGTCTGACTACATTCCACAAACAAATAAACACTCGCTTATTTTACAAATGCTACTTAAAGTGTGCATTTTTGTTTGTAGTGCCCTGTAATCTTAGTCTGTTCATGTTTGAGCACAATGTCTATGGGTTTGCTTGATTTCATTGACTTATTTAATTGTCATGTATAATTAAACAAATATATTTAATACACATTGTGTGTACATTTGGTAAATGATTAAAATTTCCAACCACTATACAAAGTGGCTGATGAGATCACACATTTTTTTCTGATAGAATATCTGAAGTTGGGTTCAGATCATTTTGAAATGTTTCTTGATCTGGAATAAGTCAGTTTAAAGCTCAGTGCTACAGCGGAAAGCTTTCAGAAGATCTTAGGAGCTGCTGATGTTTTCTTCAGAATCAGCAGCAGGAAGCATTGTGAGGCCTTCAGCGGAGAGGGTGGAGGGAGGACTCTGATCTGCTGACTTTGCTCCAGCTTTGAAGGAGCCTTGCAGGTCCATGTTGATACACAGCACTCCAGACAGCAGCTGCTCCTTGTACTGGTTGAGACGCATGAACACATCCAGGACTGAAGTACTGCTCCCATTCACCCAGCTGGGGAACAGGCTGGTGGAGCTGAGGTGGGACGGGAGGGACTGGTAGTGGTGGAGCTCCATCTGCCAGGATAACCTACAGTAAGAAGTGGTAAAGAGAAGTCAATGTCAAAGGGGAGCTTGTTGTGATGAATCTACATAGATGTCTTTTCAGTGCTTGTAAAAAATTGCTCATATTATTGAAGTTGTCTCTGTCTAACTGCACAGTCACCTACCTGGTAGAAACATGCTCGGTAATGCTTTTAGAGGCCTGGCCAAGAACATGCTGTAGGATTTTCATGATCTGGTCTTTCATCCATTCCACATCATCTTGTATATCTGGCAGCCACTCCAGAAGTCTACACACAGGGTATGTTGAAGTTAGTCCAATGGCACAGAAGGCCATTCCAGTATTTTGATATCACAATGGTCAACAGTATAACTAATCAATGAAAACAGTTAACAAATTCTACTCAAATAGAGCATTTAAGTTTTCCGGATACACTTATCATCGCACAAGTTTACTTTTTTGTTTACATATTTATTGTTATGTATTGTAGTGTAATGAACACATTTTTACATACTAATTTCTTGTTTATTTTCTTCTTAGAATTTCACTCTACATATATATTTCTATTGCAGGATTTGAGCAACTGTAATATTATTTTTTTCCCCTCAGGAGTCAATACAGTATTTCTGATAAAAGACCCAAGTAGATATACAGAGTTGGTACTGCACTGTACTGTGCTACACTGTAGTGCACTGTACTGTACTGTACTACACTGTACTGTACTGCACGGTACTACACTGTACTGCACTGCACTGTACTGTAGTACTACTCTGAGTGCACATGTAATAACGAGGGAATGGGACCGACATAATTAAGTCCTTCAGTACCTGAGAGTCATGGACATGGCAGACTCCAGAGGCAGTGTGTAGGGCAGCATAATGGCGGAGGCCATCCTGACAGGAAGCAGGTTGCTTAGCGACTGCTTCAGGCTCCTCCTCTCCATGCAGGCCTCGGTGAGAGCTGCAGAGGGAGGCAAAGAGGACCAGCGGTCACCTCAAACTACTC